CTTTGTAAGCAAGCAGGACAGTGTTTAATTAATTTTGCAAAGAGTAGTAGCCAAAAAGTTTTGTAACGTGTCTGGGGGCTTACAGGGATAAAGCCACAAAGCTTCAGTTACTAGATAACCCCAGGAGTCATAATAACTGATCCCCTGAGGGTTTCTAATAACCCAGCCTGGGCTCTATTAAGAAAATTATCAAGAGACTAGAAGATATTTACCAACGATAAGAGAGGCTGGGACTGGCAATTAATCCTTCCTCACTGCTCAGTGGTGATTAGGTCCTCATGGGATTGTTATTACAAACCTGAGCTCTGACAGTTTAAAATATATTTTGAAATATTGCAAAAGGTCCAAATAAGACCAAGAGAAATTATTTAAGAAATAGTCAATTACTATAAGGAAAGAGGAAAGTCTTATTTATTTGGAGGAAGAAAAGTTTCCCAAATGATAATTTATGCTTTCAATCCTATGCTAAGACAATTAGTTTGGCTTTTAAATTGTCACAAAAATTGGATTTCAACTGCATTAGTAGATAGTATTCTGAATCCTGAGGAAGATATCATTTAAACACCAACAATTCTACAAAGGATAGTGTGAGAATATTATTTCTGAAAATAGTCTTATAGGTTTCACCAGAACCTTTCAGAAAGCAAGGGACTAGGTAGATGACACTTCTCTGTCACCTGACAAAGTGTGCAGAGTACTAGATTAAATAATGAAGGAAGAGGAAGAAATGGTAGATATTGTCACAGATATTCTATTAATCTATTCTTCTTCTAAAGCAGGGGTCCTCAAACTTTTTAAACAGGGGGCCAGTTCACTGTCCCTCAGACTGTTGGAGGGGCGGACTATAGTTTAAAAAAAACTATGAACAAATTCCTATGCACACTGCACATATCTTATTTTGAAGTAAAAAAACAAATGGCCAAAAACACCCACATGTGGCCCTCGGGGCCGTAGTTCGAGGGTGCCTGTTCTAAAGCATCTGAAAAAGCCGCCAAACTATGGGTGGACACAAAAAGGCAATAGTGGGTCTTGGTTCCTTAGATTCTCTTTCAAAGCCTGCCAGGCAAACAGGCTCAGATGGGCTCAGTAATGTCTGGAGACCTGAACCAGAGACAATCCAATTTGATTTTCAGTTTGTGTGTGTGTGTGTGTGTGTGTGTGTGTGTGTGTGTGTGTGTGTGTGTGTCATGCGTGATTCTGGATCATTTAACATCTGAGTCTCATTTTTCCTTGAATAGTGACAACCACACTGCTTAAGAATGTCCTGAGATAATTAACAATAATATATGAAATCACCTATTACCCAATATAGGACCTTACTGCTAACCAGAGCTAGCGTAGGAATCCCAGCTGGATTCAGACCTCTTCCCAGTGCCGCATCTTAAAGGATCTCTATATGATGAGGAGAGACTTCAAACACGCCAAGAAGTCCCTACCTCCAAGATGGCCTCTCTACTTAGGTCTTAGTAGACTTCATACCTTACCTATTATGCTGCTGCTTCTGTTCCAAATAAAACCGGTCTCATGAAAAATACTGCACTCTGAGAACAAATTGTTTGCAAGCAAGTGAAGATAAAGAGGATGAATGAGGCTTCCCTGAATAAACTAGATGGGCGAAAACATTTGTTGGGGAGGAAAGGTGGAGAAGGCAAAAAGAGGAGTGAGAGAATTTTGAAGACAGACCTCGTCCTCCATTATTTTGTCCAGGACCCACCCTGTTTTTAAGTTCAATGCAGCTATTCACTTCTGGTCATGGAAGAAAGCTTCCTGGTGCACAAGTGAGAACCAGACTCCTAAATTTCTATAAAGCAAATTAGAATACATGATGCAAGTTTCATCTTTCTCTATAACTTTTATAGTGCAAAAATAGGGAATGGAAATTTAATACATATATATTTTCTCTCCATACCTGTAATAAAAGTCAGTTTCACAAATCATTTCGGGTACCAAGAGCCTAAAATAAATCTTACATTCTAGGGGAAAAAATATTTTTATGTAACTGGATTTGTTTGACTTTGACAGATAAAAGAACAAAAAAAAGCCCCTTTCCATCAAAACACTAAGATCATATTTATGCATTATTGCTGAACATATTTTTTCAAAAAATTTTAGGCAAAAGGTTCATTGTTCATTGCTATCAAAGCATTCCAAGCAATCAAAATAATTTGGATATCTTTTTTCACTTACTCAACATTAAAGAGGTAAGGTTTTTGCAACATTGACCAAATTTCAGTTAGCATTAATGAAAAGTGAAGAAAGTAATCAAGACATGCAAGATTTGGGTAAATTTTTTCTTATTAGAACATTTCTGAAATATTCATCTATAGTATCACTGTGTACATTAACTTCTTTTCTTAATTGGTGAATTTGTTGCAGATATGTTAAAACCAACTTTTTTATTTAAAATTTTTAAGGTGACACACTGGCAATTATAAGTCCATTAACATAATTTTAAGAGTTTTACATACTATGTAATTTGGATTCCACTGCCTAGTTTGGGTGACTATAAAATAATTTGGGGTTTTTAAAGACTGAGAAGTATTTCTCAAGGTTAGCTTTTCCAAACAGAAAGTTGAGTGTTATAAATTCCACCTCCCACAGACCAGAATTCACATCCATTGGTCAGGGGCAAATACCACTGGCTCTGTGTCCTCAGTCACTTTGTGCCATTTCACCAAGTCGGAGCCAAAGGTAAGTTTTTATACTTGCTTTCTTCTTGGGTTAGAGACTTTTTCCCCAACTATAACAACCTTTAAAAATAATTCAACTTGCTTTAATATCTCCTGATGAACTTTGATTTAATGGATATGGTTTAATTTTGCTATTGACTTTATATTATTCTTGCATAATCCAAAATTCTCAATTAGCTTAGGAATTAATAACATTCTGCAGAGTAGTTGATCTCAATAGTCATGTCATGACAGATGCCAATAAAATTATTGTAGTTTCCAATATATGCCTTAAATCAAGTGCCCTGACACAGACCACATCCTTTGCCAGTAGAGACAGGCACTATTGATTAATATTGAATGAAATATTATGCAAAGGGAGAAAATAGTGAAATTTCAGGTGTTTAAAAATATCCCAATGATCATTAAATTATGCATTTGGAATGTCTTTTGGGGTTATGTATTTTAAAGTTTTAAATAGACATATATTTTCAAAATATCATGAAATGGTATCAAGAGGACAAAAATTCAAAGATTCAACTAACAAACTCTATTAAGTACTGGTATCATTGTTTGAAGGATGGAACATAATTTTTTAACTAAACATAGATTTTTCTCACTATTTTAAGGTTCACACAGACTGCTTTATTGCTGATAGCATTAGAAACTATGCCAAATGCAAGTAAACTCTGATATGTAACCATTTGTAATCAAATATAGAATATGAAATAAGAAAAAGTATCATCAAATACATGATTTTTTGGAATAATGGAAGTTGCCAGAAATATACAAGGAAAATATTTTTTTAGGTTGGTAGTGGCCCCTGTTAATGCTTCCCACTTGAATGTGGAAGGATGGTTCCTGGAAGATTTGCAAATCACACTGTTTTATTAAGAAGGACTTTGTTGGTAATTGCCTAGAACAGTTCCAAATCTGCAATCCTGCAAAGACCTCTGCAAAAGCAAGTAAAATAGAGGCTTAGTTTATCCAGTGTGAATAAGAAATTTTATTTGAAGAAAGCATAAGAGGGAATAAAAAGGAGCTCCTGTACTGCTTCTTATTCTCAGAGGAATTCATATCCTTCTACCTAAACCTGCTTCATAAAGACCTTCTTTCAAGTGGCTGAAGGTCAGTGTGTCTGCCACTGCATTCAAGTTTAAAAGTAATATTTATCATGAATTCCCTTTTATATGTGTGCATAGGTACCAACACCATACATACCATTCTTGAAGTTAACCCAAGAAGCATATCGAAAATATAAAACATTCTAAAATTACACAAGCTTGATAAAAAATACTTTGCCTGCTCAATAAATGATCACTAGGTAATATTTTTTGATAGAACCAACTTAACTGTTTAAAATTAAATGTGAAGGTCTTTTTTTCCCTAAAGTGAATATATTCATTGGAGTATATACAGAACTAAAATAATTAAAATTATAAGATCTTGATTAAACCAAAAACAAAATATGATATAATAGAAAATTAGAATTATGTTTGTTGATAATTACAAAACAAATAACTGTGCTAAGACGATGTGTGTGCAAATGCTCCTGAAAGGAAATATTGGAAAATAGTGCTTTTTGACATGTCTTTCTATGGATTGAGTTCAAATCTTAGATAGCTGTTAAGAATTAAAATAAAATGCTAAGAACTAAATGAAAAAATAATTGTGTTTTCTCTTCCAGTTATGAACATTTTAAAAAATATTGCATGAGATATTAACTTATGTACATATCAAATTATGTATGTATTCAGATACCCAGAGGCAACAAGGAAGTAGCAGAAAAAATAAAAATTCATTATTTTGTTCTGTAGAAAGCTTTAGGCTTCTGTGTACAAGAAACAGTCATGAGTCCTACTGGTATTGCTAGCCAACTTTGTCTCAGTTTCCTCATCTGTAAAATGATGTGACAGTTGTAGTCATCATCAACATGAGCTCTATATCCCAGAGTTGACATAAGAATAGTAATGCTCATTAAATGGTAAAACTCTTAGACAATCAGAGCTGTTTGTGAATAAGTGTATCACAATCTTTCTTCATTCTGTTTTCTCCATTTTTTCTCTATAAAATAAAGTCAGTTTCACTGTAATTAAAATATCCACTGTAAAAACATGAATTAGTGTGTGAATTAATTTGGACATCTGGTAGCAATGGCCTCAGAAGCCATGTAATTTCTTGTGTGTTATGTTTGTAAATTAATTATCCATATAAGGAAAGCCACCAGCTTGAATTCTTCGAGGTTGACATTGATTTATCAGTTCTATTTAGTAAAAACTATTCATAAGTTATTATCAGTTAAGTATTTATGTATTTTAATATTTTATGATTAGGAAAGTTTGAAAAATGAAGACATTAGCAAGATTTGTTCTGGGCCTTGTCATCTTGGATGCTGCTGTGGCTGCACCAACTCTAGAGTCCATCAACTATGACTCAGAAACCTATGATGCCACCTTGGAAGACCTGGATAATTTATACAACTATGAAAACATCCCTATTGATCAAGCTGAGGTAATTGATTCCTTCCACTCTTGAGACTTTTTAAAGCATGGCCTGGAGGATGATTGGGGTTTATTCTCTTCAAATAACTTTTTTTCCCTTATTTATAAGTTGAGAGGTTTTATTTTAATAAAACTACTTCTCTTTAGAACATGTTCAATCTTTGGAAGTTAATACTAGGTCAGTCTTTTGTTTCTTAGAGTTTATATTATTTCCTTCAAATTTCTTTACCAAATTGAAGACAAAAATAAATGTCTATCAAATTAAAACAAAGAAAATTAAAGGAAAAGGCAAACAGCCAGGAAGAGTTATTCATGCCATGATAAGGAAAGTTTGGGCCAAAGGAGAAAGATGTGAGATTAAAATGAATTAGTAGAAAATAAAAAAGAATGTAGAGAAAGGACAAGGGGCAGGAACTTCAGTATGTCCCAAGAGTGAATGTGCTTCCTCTGAGTGACTAATAATTTCTCAGACACTAATGTAGAAATTGGCAACTTTGTAGCCCATTACATAAATCTGATATGATGTGTTCCTAACCAAATGCTAGGCTTTTTACATAACTAAAGGATACAGGCTGATTTGTATGAATAAGAAAGCAAACAGACCTTGAAATGCTAGAGTGTTAACTAATGTGCAACATTGACAAAGACTAAATAAATAAACAACAAAAAGTTACATCATCTTTAAAGGATCATAACATGTTTTGGGCAGACTTTCAAGCATGCATCTTCCTGGAATAACTACTTTTGTTAACCAGGACTATGAAATATGTAGACAAAATCATACATTTAACTTGCAATAAACTTAAATATATCTTTATTAAGAAGATAGCAAAAATTTTCAATATTGTTTGTTGCCTTATAAAATCCAAGAGTCAGATTTTCACAATAATGATAGTTTTCACAAGTCTTCTCCCCTCTTGCCTTTCTCTCTCCCTCTCCTTTGCCTCTCTGTCTCCCTCTCGCTCTCTTCTGCCCTCACCCCCTTCACTCTCTCCCCAACTCTATCTCTCCCTCTCCCTTTCCTTCTTTTTAATAAAGTTTTAGGCTCCACAACAGATCACTTTTCTTCTGCACATTTGATTGTGACTCTATTTTCTAAGTCTTTACTATATTTACTGTTTGATTCATTCCACTGTATGGGCTCTGTTATGATAAGGGGATTTTCTGTTGGGAACTATGGTCATTAACACCAATCTTGCTCCACATGACTTCTATATCTCCAACCTAATGCATCAATACAGAGTATAAGATGAAATTTGTCCAGTAGTTAACTCATCTACTCTTTTCCAACTTGCATAAATACATTTTTAAAAAAAGTTCTGTCATCTTGCTCTTTTTCCATCTTGTACAAATATATATTTTTAAAAAGTTTTAGGCCATATCTGAATTTATCTGCCAAATTAAATATTTTAGTACAAAATATTTGTCATTTCCCCCCCCCCAAAATACTCCATAGGATCAAAGAGATGTAACAATTACCAAAAGTGAACCCCATATTTTGAGTACGGTTGAGGAATGGATTCAAAGGTTCTGTTTATTCCTTTCACAATACCAAATTCACAATAGAAAAAAATAATATTTGAGACCAAGACTTCTCTAGGGAAAATTGTAAAGAAGATGAGCTATATTACCAGAATGCTTTTGAGCCATTCTTTGCTGTCAGGATCCTTTTCTTTGCCTATAAAGCCCTAGACATTTTCATGAAGTTCTGAAGCTTTTCCTAGTATCAAGAAATTTAAACTAAAAGACATATCTATATAAAGATGATTTAATATACAACCTTTCCTCAATATTTACATATTCTGGAATAAGAACTTCCTGCGAAATACCAAATATGTGGCACTGTATCTTTATGCTAACATCCCTAGTTTTCCACAGACTTCTTTCTAAACAATTCTAGTTCCATTAAATCAGTATCTTGATGTCAGGGACAAAATTTGGATCATGAGAGAGATTCAGTGCAAAATAAAATGCCTGCTGCTAGCTTTAAAGATAGATGGGTCCACGTGGCAAGGAATGCAGGAGGCCTCTAGATGCTGAGAGAAACTGACAGCCAGAAAGCATTGGGGGACCTCGGTCCCATAGATGAAGAACCCTGAGCTCCACATAAGATCACAGCACTGGCTATCACCTTGATTTGGGTCTCATGAGATGTTGAGCAGAGAACCCAGTCAGGCCACCTCTGGATTTTTGAGTCACAAAAATTGTGAACTAAAAAATGGGTATAGTTTTAAGCTGTTAACTTTATGGCAATTTGTTATGCAGCAATAGAAAATTAATACAACATGTAACAACTAAAACTTTTTATTTCTGAAAAAGATTTGAAATAAACTGCTGCTGCAAATCTGGTACTTGTGAGTCCAGTGATTTAGCTACTTAATAAGATAAACCACTCCAAAACCCAGTGCTAGAATCTCAATTGAGATTTGTTAATTTCTACTGGTGGTGGTATATTCATTGACTCTTCAGTGGTTGAGAAAGGATCACAAAAATATTTCTATTTTTGAAAACTATATACATTAACAGAATTCCAGACTGATGATTTACTAATTTCTAATGATCTATAATAGAATATCTAGGATCCATCAGATTCTATGTTAGGAGAGGTTTTAGATCCAAAAATTCCATCATAGGTCTAAATATTGCCCTGTAGATAAATTTGTTGGTATGCCATAAAATGGTTACAGTTTTTACTGAGCTTTCATTTTACTTTAATGGTATGAATAGGAATTAGTTATAGGCTGTAAGATTAAAGTATCTACTTTTTTCCCTTTGTGATAAATAATAGCTAACCCTAAGTGAGCAATTTTTATATGCCAAGTACTATATTCTAGTCATATTACATGTATTATCTCATCTATTGCTCACAACAAACTATGAATTGCTATTATTTTTCCCATTCAGTAGATGAAGATATTGAGAAAAGGATAGTAAATTAAATAATTTGACTAAGACTAACCTTCCTCCATTTTCCATCCTATTCCAAATGCCCTTTTAACTTGATATTGGTTTTAAGTGAACTAGATGCCAGGTAACCTAACACTCCTAAAAGAGAAAGAACAGCATTCTTCTATGGGTGGATAATGTGAACTAGAAGTTACTTTTATACATAACACACTCTGTTGTCTAATCATTAAAAAAATGGCTTAAAACTATTTCAAAGAATAATTGTGGATATGTGTTCTTCAATACATATCTAAGTTCTGGACAATAACCTAATTTTATATATATCACATATTTAGTAGTCTAGAGAAACAATCTTTTATTTGCCTTAATCATCAGAAAACTACATTGTTCTAAGGTTGGTATTCTTTGAGTGGCGTAACTTGACATTGTCTTCTTGAGGAAGGTGGTTATTTGAAGTTTCCATTTTCATGGCATAGTTTTGGGTTATTGCTATTTCATTTCCCTTCGGTTGGAGGGGGCTTCACCTTGTTTTCTAAGAAAAAGAGTGGCTCTGCCCATGAGTAATGTTTCTTTCCAGCAAAGTGCTCAGTAGTAATATTAGTGTTTATGTAGGCTCTACAGAATTATGTCAACTTCCATTCTTCCAGTAAAATTTCCTTGACTTCATCCAGGTAATTAGACTTATGCTTGCCTACACTAACTACATCAATTAATTTAGCCTTATATAATTACTTTTACTTAATTTTACCTGCAGTGCCCCTATGTATTCAATAAACATCAAGAAATGTTATACTACAGAACACTGTGGAGCTGTTAATTGTATTTATTGTAGGATGGTATGAAGGACTCACAATGATACTATGCAATGATCTTTACAAGGATGTGTAGGAGAAATTTCTCTCAGGCCTCCGTGTCAGAATGGGCTGCAACTTTTAAGGAATTTGCTTATTTTCTAGGTTATATATTGTGTAACTCATTGTGTTTGTGATTTTGTCTTGCCTGATCAAAAACCTGAAGCCCAGTTTTTGTGTCATTCTTCCCTGGTTTTATAAAACTTCCCCCGGCTTTATTTTCCTGTCACTGCAACTCCTCAGGTAGATTTTTTGAAATATTACTATATGTTGTTTTAAAATTGTTTCATGTTCTTTCTGGAATGAGACAGTGTATGCATTCATATATAAATATTAATAAAAATAACAATGCATAAAGCAATATCAGTAAAAATTTACCACAGAAATCATCTTGCACAAGGCATGCTTTAATTGCTACAACTCCTTCATTGATCTTAAAATCGAGGCCAATTTTTCTTTTTCATAAAGAATACAAGTGGCTAGATTGTTTAAGGTCATTCTTATTTAAAAATTGCCATTGAACAAATTGATTCAGCTTGAAAAACATAGCATTTTGAGATGGAGAAGCTATAAGGTTCATCAAAGGAATAAAAATTAAATTTAGCAAAGTTGTAGGAATGGAAGAAAAACTCCATGAAGGCAGCTGTATCAATTAACGATTGAGAAAATTTTCTTTTCTACTGTCATCAATGTAATATGGTACCAGGCAAAATAATTTTAGGATATGTATTGATGCCCCATAACACCAGAAATTGCTTTAAAAGAATGAAGCTAACTATGGAAAATTTATAGGAACCAATGTCCACTTTAGATGATGATATATAAAAAGGTTTTCTAAATATAATATAATAAATATAATAATATAATATAATAAATATAATATAATAAATATAATAAATTGGTATAGGGTAGTTTGCCTCAAAAATTCTCTCTGTGCTTTCTGAACAAAAAATATTTAAATTAGCAATATTTTGACTATTTCTTTACTTTTGTAACAAAAGATACGCAATATGTTTATCTTTGTATTTGAAATCATATCTCACTTTGGCCAATTTATACAGTATATTTTAAAGTTTCAAACATATGGTTTGCACATCAAAAACCTCATAGTGGAAGAAGAGACTTTAACTATATCAGCCTGAATTAAATATTCTTTTCAGGATATGGGAAAAGAATAAAAGCTAATCTCCCTCTTCACTGAAGATTCTCTGGAGGATGGAAAGAATTTTGCTGATGAGCTTTTAGTATGGTT